AGAGAGAGAGAGAGAGAGAGAGAGAGAGAGAGAGAGAGAGAGAGAGAGAGAGAGAAAGAGAGAGAGATATATATATATATATAGAGGAGAAAGAGAGAGATAGAAAGAGAGAGAGAGAGAGAGAGAGAGAGAGAGAGAGAGAGAGAGAGAGAGAGAGAGAGAGAGAGAGAGAGAGAGAGATGTATGAATGAATAAGGAGAGGGTGTGGCAGCGACAGTTATATTTACTGCGCGAGGACGCGTAAAACAAAGGCACCGCATGAGATCTTCTGACCCATTTCCGCATCACTACCGACACAGTCGAAGAGTCGTTTACTGCTCTTCATGGAGTAATTAACACACACTGGTGATGTACATAGCTATATAACAGTGGGAGAGGGGAATAGGGGAGGGAGAGCGAGAGCGAGCGAGAGAGAGAGAGAGAGAGAGAAAACAAGAAGAAGGGAAGGCAGAGCGACAGCGAGAGAAAGGGAAAGAGGGAGCGAGAGCGAGAAGGACAGAGAGAGAGGGGGAGGAGTGAAAGCGAAAGAATGAGTGAGAGCGAACGAGAAAGAGAGAGAGAGAGAGAGAGAGAGATAGCGCGCGTGAGAGAGAGATCATCGTCGTCATCATCACCCTGTACTTGGCCCCGCAGCAGCAAGCAGTGTATGTGATGTTATAGAGGGAAAACATAGGCTATGGGTGCATGGATGATAGACGTGGGCGCACATCTTGCATCACCGTGCCAGCACGTGTACGTACGGGGCAGATTGCCTGCCCCTGATGTACGTACGTACATACACGCTGTGCGTAGCTCGCACACATGTGGTAGGGATTGACTGCCTGCACCCGTGGAGGAAGGCAGCGGGCTAGCCTGCTACCGTGCGCGCGCTGACTCACACTGATGCCACTGATGCCACTGCTGATACTGCACATCTCTCATATATATCCAGGCACACGCTGTACACGATTCTGCATTGCAAAGTCGCTACTGCCTTAGCGGACATACCTATAGAACGGATACCTGTGTAATAAATAGCACTTGCTTTTGTCCTCGAGTGTCAGTCACACAGTGAAAGCACCTTTATAGAACAGATAGCTGTCTATAAAAGACATTTACCTTTTTTGTTGAGGCAGTTAAATAGTGAAACCAACTTTACAGACCAGACACCATGTATGCCTACATAAGTGACACTAACGAGTTTCCCTTTAGTGACTTTTATATACATGGTTGGCTGTAGTCTAGTAAAGCAAAATGTAGTAAGCGGGGATGGAGGCAAGGAGAAGAGAGCGTAGCCTAGAAAACTCAATACCAGGGAGACGCGTTGGCGTTGGATTTCTACTCGGTAAGTATAGATAGCTAGTATAGACTGACGCAAGCCGGTGGGAATCAACGCGGCGCTGACGGTTGCCGGACACTGATGGTGTCAGTCTACAAGACAAGCTTTCACACGGTCGCGTGAAATCCCCCTCCCTCCCTCTCTCTCTTCGCTCAGTTTCTCTCTCACCCCTCTCTCCTCCCCCTCGCCATTTTCCCTCACTCCCCCAGCGCAAGCACCTCACCATCCGTCGCCGCCGCACGTCACGTAACAAAGATTTAAGTGGCAGGGGAAGCCCACCCCTACCTGCCCCTCCCAGCAGGGGAAGCCACACCCCTCCCTGCCCCTCCCAGCAGACACAGTACAGAATACAATACAATACAGAACACTGTACAATAGCGCACAGTATACATGCAACCGAGGTGTAAGTCGCAGGGGCATCCCTTACCCCCAAACCGTCAGCGCAGAGCCGCAGACGCAATACACGTAACAGAGGTGTAAGAGGCAAGGGCAGCCCTAACCCTCCCCAACCCGCCACCGTAGACACAGTACAGTGTGCTGTACACAGTAGGTAACCAGGGTGTAAAAAGGCAGGAACAGCCTCCACCCTCCCGCTACCCTTACCCCGAAATTTGCTGCCACACCGGGTGACTGTCGATCAAAGCTCATCGTTTGCTTAAATATTTTGAATGCAAACTATGTGGTAGCGCGCGAGAGCGTAGTGCCTAACTGCCCTCTCAAGCGGTATGCTGGGTGGTCGATGGGAGAGGGGGAAAGGGCCCATGTATTTCGTTCGTTGGAACCTTGATGATTTATCACTGGTTATCGCTAGTGACGGGTAAGTTAAAAACATTAGTTTTCATATTTGTTTAGACATTTTCATGTATATAGACGGTAATAGTATTAAGGGTGTTGAAAACTCATTTTAAAACTAGTGACTACAGAATGTGGGTCCTGTATAATGAGACGGGCAAAATAGATTTGGGCCTTCATAAATCACATATTTTTTACTGTCGCTATAATTTTTACCATCTGCTCATATTTTTCTGCAGGAAATATAAACCACCAACCTGTAAAATGGTTACCACAAGCATGCCAGAGACGCCCTTAAAAATAAATATACGCGGTAGGTTTTATTGCTACTCAGTTGTGAGGTGTTTTTCAAATGTTTTTTTTAGAAGTTAAAGATTTGCAAAAATCGTTTATGCGCAGCAAAAATATCACCGACTAGAAGGCATTTTAATTTGCTATATAATCAGGGGGCTCGATATTGTAATTATAATGATTTTCCAATTTTAAAGTACGTAAAGTACTTGCGATAAAAACATTTATAAAAAGATTCTCGACAGGTATTAAAGCATCTTTCCAATAACGCAAGCTGAAACGAAAGTACAACGATTATACGCATATATTATATAAATATATATTATATATGTATAATATATATATATATAACAATATTCACTACAAATACTAAATTATACATATGCGCAAACAAGACGTAAAAGAATCGCTACAAACATCTCTGATCGCGCTTCAGTACAGACCCCGCAATCATGCCAGTGTCTAACTGCATGCATGAAGCAGAGGCGTCGCCGCAAGGCTAGCGTGCAGCAGCAGCAGCAGCAGCAGTACCACGAGGATGAATCACTGATGAAACGAAACATCCTCCCCTCCCCCGGACTTACCGATTTCCAACACGCTGAATACTGCGGTCGCAAAGAGAACTGCACGCCAGCAACCTCTCATTGTGATAGAGAGAGATCTCACTTCCATTCCTACATATTGGTATTTTGTCACTTATTCACATATAGTCTTCGCGAAACGAGAATACGTGCACTGAAACATCCTCCTCACCATCGTTCGCGTCGAAGTGGCAACATCATGACGTCATGTGCGGAATTGATTTATTTTTCAGCTACTTGGTGGCAGCACACGTTACAAAATATTTGAGCATTCGTAAATAATCGTGATTCTGTAACTTCTAAATTTCTTACTCACTTTAGTCTTTAGATAATTTATATCGAGACAATATGCCAGCTTCCGATCAGAATAGTGTAGAGTTAGAGGAAAAGGTTGAGGAACTAAACAACAAATTAAAGACGGGGTAAACCTAGTGTTGATTTTCTTTTTTATGTTGTTAACGACACTTCACCCTACACATCACAATTCACATGATCATGATCAATCATGATGATCATGATGTTCTTCACAATGTAGTATCAATACTATCATCTACTGAGCGCAGGCACTTGAAACCTTTCAATAGTAAAATGATGGTAAATAAACACGAAATGTATTTACTACCAAAGTCTTAATGTTTCTCTACTCGTTCGCCCATTACTGCCAATAATTTCTTGTAAATGCTGTTCAAAAGGTAGCTCTAGTAAGTACTATAGCCGCTTACATTAACTGCCGCTGGGCTATAGCATCAGCCATTACGAATGCTCGGGACCAACTTACTCCAGTCAGTCAGCGGGAACTATATATTTCCGCACGTGGAGGGGTGGGCGGGTTGTGTTGGTTGTGGACAAAAACATTGTTGTTGTCAAGTAACAAATTAATAATAGTAATTTGTTCATCTTTCATGACAAAACTAATATTACAATCTCTTTTGATCGCTTAATTTGTTACTTGACAACAACAATGTTTTTGTCCACAACCACCCCAACTCGCCCACCCCTCCACACGCGGAAATACATAGTTCCCGCTGACTGGCGCTGCTGCAGCGCCGCCAGAAATGGCCGTTTGAAGTTCGCAAATAGAATGTTTGTTCACAAGAAACCGCAAGTATACCATTGCAACGATAGTTAGAGGTTCAATTTTAGTAGCGGCTATAACTTAAGACATATTCACTTCGGATAAGAAGCATTAATTGCCTACCACAGACGTTTTATAGTCGGGTATAATCGGGGATAAGTTGGTCCATCGCATGCCCCATGGGTCGGTCTATAGCCCAGCGGCAGTTAATGTAAGCGGGCTATAGTACTAGAGCTATTCAAAAGGCTGCTCTTCAACAGTGTCGCTACCTACAAACAATAAGAATAATGAGCAGGTGATCGAAAAATTCGTAAGACGTTTGCTTTGTTTCACACTATCACAACACAAATACACAAACAACAATATCCATTTTTGTATCTATGCGTAGCCAAATGTTTACTTGTTCAAATTATAACTGTCTTTTGGTGCTGCCTACTCCAGCCAGGGATATCGACTATCGTGAATTTCTGCGGAAAACTTCCACTCCGCTAAAGTGTAAATGGGACGAGGTGCCTGTTTATCATCCGAAAATCCCTAACCGCGCTACTTGATTGTTTTGGCCAATGAACGTAGTCGTGTGTGTGACGACATGCCCGCAAGCATTATGCTTGGCTTGGGGGGGCCTCGAAATGGAGCTCGGAAGCAAGCATCGGCTCGCCCCAGCAAGCAGTACACCACCATTATTCGTGTACGTCCTCCCATTTACAATTTGGCAGAGTGGAAATTTTCCTCAGGAATTCACTAGATATCTCTGAGGCGAGTAGGCAGTACCAAATGGCAGAGTTATAATTTGAACAAATGCACATTTAGCCACGCATACATACCAAAATGGAGGCTGTTGTTGGTGTATTTTTGCTGTGAGTGTGAAACGAGGCGAGTGTCGAGCGAATTTTGCGATCATGCTTTTCGACCTGCTATTTATTCTTGTTGATTGTGCACAGCCGTGTGCATGCAGTATATGTGTGTATTGCATAGGAGCAGTTGAACGGCATTTACAGGAAATTATCGGCAATAATGGGTGAAAGAGAGTAGAGTCATTAAGACTTTGGTAGTAAATACATTTCGTGTTTATTTACCATCATTTTACTATTGAAACGTTCCAAGTGGCTGTAGTACTGAAAGTACTACTACTAGTACTAGTATCATTGTATTATATCATCATTGTATTCAGTATATATTATCATTGTATCATGTACATCGTACTGGTAGTGCCATATCATGACACAACACCACTTCATACATCTATTGACACGTACTGGCACTTACATTCACAAGCTCAGTGCCTGTCTAGTTTATATAATGATAGCAGAAAGAATCAACACAAGTGTGTCACTGTGTAGGCTTGCTATAATAAGTGTAATGCTCAATGCTACTTACATTTGTACTACAGTACACAATCTATTATCTGAAACCCTTGCGACCAGACACGTTTCTGAATTCGGAATTTTTTCGGGTATGCATACCATATATCCTGCAACTAGCCAGTACTAAAACTCAATTTTTAAAGAGGCCAGGTGCTGTACCGGTACAGTACAATATGTATTAGTAATGCCAAACGCATTAATTTTTCTGCAGTGAACCTTGTGCAGCCAAACGCGAGCTTTGGTGTGCAGTCGACCTCCACGAAAAAACTCTGTTTTCGGAGCTTTTCGGTTTTCAGAATTTCGGATAACAGTCAGCTTGTGTACAATACAATATATATGTACTACGAATTGTAGCACTCAAAATCGAAGTTGTACATCAGTCTGGTCTGTAGAGACCAGACTACGGTGGAAATTCCAACAATTATTGTAAAACAACAAATGACGCTCTGTCAGTGAGTTGACCATCGTCTGTTCGATAAACAATTGGCATAACAATCATCAGGCAGGCGCCAGGCATTTCGGAGAATAATTAAATAGATGATAAAGTCTTATTATATTTACCATCAATGTTCATCAATTCTTTATTGCTTAATAGTTCTTTGCAATTATATACTTATTACAAGGGAGGTCATATATTTGTCTGGGTTTGTGAGATAAGAACTGTATTTTCTTTGACTATTAGTGGCTTTACTGGCTCGTATGACATCGCAAATTCAACTCTGCGGTTGCTGAGGAAAGTGATTGCAGGAAGCAAGTGGAACAATGCTCGGTAAGATGTGCTAAAGTTCTGTGGACAAAAGTTTGGATTTGAACAGTGGATTGGTGCAGAAGTTATGTATAAATTCACATGGTAATACTTTTACTGATTTTAGTTATTGGCAAACCATTTCTAAAGTTACTGTACTGTGTAGTCAATGTATTTAATCTGATAGTGTTGTTATAAAAACATGGCCGCACCAACTTCTTTCTTGTTGAAAATTAATGGGATATTTATTGTTATTGTCTTGTTTCAGAGAACTTATGGATAGAGTCAAATCGGTAGGAAAGTTAATTGTAGCATCACAAAGGTCAGAGACATCTGTTGGCAACATGGTACGAAGAGGTGTGTTTTAAATTAAAAAATAATGTCGCACGTTAATTTAAAATAAATTGGGTTTCCAATAGTTGTCATGAGTTTTTGTTGTCCTGACTTAATTATTTTGTGTCAATGTGACTTATTTTATTATATTAATGTATTATCAATCTAGTTGAATAATTGTTGAAATGCCTTTACCACACTGATTATAAGTGACAATAACATTTCCCTTGTTTTTTTATGATTTCAGTATTGAAGTTGATTAGAGAAGAATATGCAAGGTGTGTACAACATTTAATAAAAATATCATTGATCTATTCTATGAATTGCAATAAAAATATAGCACCAAGCTATATATACATGATCAACAAGCTATTCTGTAATCAATCTGGAGTGATTGATATAAAGCTCTAATCAATTTATATTGCAATGGAGACATTCTAAAAATGCCACTTGCTATAAGTGAGTGCTGCAGAGTTGACAATTTGACATGCACATATTAAAACGCGCACGGACGCATGCACGCACACTGATATAGTTTGACTGGTCTAGCAACAATATCTCAGGCTGGCATGCATGGTTATCTCCCTCAGGTGGGTATGTTCATTCTGTGCTATGGCTATAAGGCTGGTTTTTGTTGATAATGTGTCTATAAGATTTGCATTGGGTTTGCAGGTGTAGAGGTAACCCGGAAGGTGGTGATGTCCAATCGGAAAGTCTTCATGTAAGTTGTATCTCTATCTTATTCATTTGTATGCCAGTCCATTATTTCGCCTTTCTACTATTATGGTACATTACCAGCTAAAGAATAAGGGTTTACTCAGTCATTGGATTGTTGTATGTTTAATATTATTAAGTGTGTGTGCTTTGATTCTCATGGTGATATACATTACTCTATGTTTGCCATTTGCTGTCACCTAAAATTAAAATAGTTTTTAATATAAAATGTTACTGAGTTGATAAATAACTGGCTGGTTGTTTGCAAGTAACTAATTATTAAGTTTAATTATAAATTTGTTAATTACTTTCTTTAGAGAATGTTCACGGATAACGCAAAGACGGAAGATTACAGTGTACCTATTTTGAATGTAGATTTTAAGGTGAGTCGTTTGGTTTAATTTCTGCCTTGCCTCCAAATGTTTTGTGTAAAGTAGAGTGCCTTGTGTGAAGTGCCATTGTTGCATTTGTGTTACACAACGTAGTCCCCAATGTATCTGGCATCCCTACACCATACAACTAGTACAGATGTTTGACCGTAAAGTGATAGAGTTTTACAGTTTCCATTCCAATCACGACAATGTCAAGTATTCTCTCTACTTGATTTTATTTCGAATGGTATCTTCACACTTTCTTTGCATTTTAATTACAGGCTGTGGTGATCGAAGCAGTAAACGAAATCTTGATCGAGTTGGAGAACAGGTATTGTACACGCACACACGCACACGCACACACATACACACACACGCACGCACGCACGGACGCACGCACGCACACACACACGCAGCAATACACGAATGTTTGCCTAAGCGAATTTACTACAGTCAAACCTGTGTTAGCGAACACCTATATTATATACATCTTACATCTTAGATAACACAGGTTCATGTCTGTGAAATGCAATTTTAGAATTTCCCTGGACACCTGTCTATAAAGGACATCCTCAGGGTTAATGACAGCTTATATACAGGTTTGACTGTTCTGAACATTTGTAGCGAGGCAATTACGACGGCGCTTATTCATACGGTCATGATCATGGAAATAAGGTGATAATCTTTTGATAGAAGTAGAATGTTTGCGCGGTTTCCTGAATGTCTTTCATTGTTCACGTTGTTCACGTGATGGCATTGAACATTGATGTTCTTCCGTGTGTTCGCACAGTGCTGACAACATCGCGATGCAGGCGTTGGAACACATACACTCCGACGAGGTGATCATGACGGCCGGCCGTTCAAGAACCGTTGAGAAGTTCCTCAAGGTATACTCTAGTGAGACAGAAAGAGAGAGAAAGGGAGAAAGGGGAGAAAGATAGGGCGAAAGAGATAGAGAGAGTGAGAGAAGAGAGAGAAAGCGCAAGAGAGAGAGAGAGATGTAGAGAAAGATATATATATATATAAATAATAAGTGAGATCGTAAAGTCCAGCTGTGCTATGTAGTTCACAGAAAAAGGGGGTATAGAATGGCCGAGGCGCGCTTAGGAAAGTAAATGACTAATGTAAACACTTGTGCGTTTTTAGTTTTTGCATTAACACAAACATTGCAAAATATCCCAAACGACCACAATCATATTTTTAAAGGTTTATGTAAATAGAAACGAACCTGTGAATTGAAGTACGATGTTAGTGAACAGAATTATAGATCAAAAACCTAGAATAGTCCTATCCTACCCATGTTATAAAAGGGCTGTTTATACCCCCTCTTATCTGATCTCAGTATGGCGGTGGGGACTTTCCGATTTGGCTTATAGAGAGAGAGAAGAGAGAGAGAGGGGGGGAATACAGCAGGAGATAGAGTGAAGAGAGACAGGAGGAGAGAGCTTATGTGCACGTGAGCATACAACGAATAACTGCAGCAGACAAAGAATATTTTACGTTTTCCTTGTCGTTACTTCACTCATGTTTTCTCTCCTTCGTCTTTCCTCAGCAAGCAGCTCGCAAGCGCAGATTCCAGGTCATCGTCGTCGAGTGTGCGCCGTTCTATCACGTAAGTTTTCTGCAAAAGTTTTTGGTAGCAGATTTTTTTTTGCGTAAGATGAGGAGAATTGGGACAAGTGCAAAACTTGCGTGAACTCACAGTGTTCGCCCTGCATTGACACGAGCGAGGTGGGCCGCCTCGCTGAAATTCTCAGCTGCCACAGAAATTTTTCCAAAACACCGTCTCTCTGACGAAAATCTCATACAATGTGTTCAGAATAGCTTAGAATGCACCAAATTGCACCATTTTTTCAAAAGATTTTCCAAGGGGGCATGCCCCGGATGCCCCTAGCCGGGCGAGCACCTGTGGTGCTCACTTTGCTAGGACCTCGAAACACGCATACATACTAAAAAACATTTGCCGCCTCACAGACCTTTTTGGCCAGGGGAAACACTGCACTCACATATCTCATTATGAGGGATGTTAAATTTAACATGTGGAAATATAACCTTAATGCACGAGAACAAGTATATACTCTCAAAAGCAAATATATTATAGTTTATGACATAGTACATAAAATAGTATCATATAGTAACATGTGATAATGTAGTTAATGACATAGTTGAAGGGATCATTATAGTACGCCCCTGTCATCCTTATAATATTTCTATCCTATGATAGATTCTACATCAGGTATGGTCAATGCATGGGGTGGTCGAGTATACACTAAACCTGTATTTAATGGTCACCCAATATATATTCCAAGGGTATCCTTTATAGACAGGTGTCTTCAGTAGAGAGGTTTCCTTTATAGAACAGTGTCCTCAGTAGACAGGTTTCCTTTATAGACAGGTGTACTCAGTTTAGACAGTTTGCCTTTATAGACATGTGTCCTCAGTGACAGGTTCGAGAGTTCTTTTATAGGACAGGTGTCCTCAGTAGACAGGTTTCCTTTATTAAGACAGGTGTTCCTCAGTAGACATGGTTTCCTTTATAGGACAGGTGTCTTATAGATTGGTGTTGGTTATAGATAGGTGTGCTCATTTGGCAAGTTTCCTTTAAACACAAGTGTCTTTATAGATTGCTGTTGGTTATAGACAGGTGTCCTCATTTGCAGTGTTGTCCTGGTCCGTTTTCCATGGTTTTGGTCTCGGTCTTGGCCTCGGAGTGCAATGACTCGGACTCGGACTCGGACTCGAGGACTCGGGTCGAGGCCACTACATGCATAGTACACAACTGTACATATTGCAACACGCAGTTTACAAGAATTTAAAACTAAAACTCCTAGGTTTTCTAGATACACGGCCTAATATTGTAACGTTTTCAATGGTTAGATTAAGATTCTTGTCCCTTTGGTTTGAATCTGCTGTCACTTCGTCCCTTTGTGTTTTTTCTACCACTTCTTTCTCTTCTTCTACCACTTCGAAGGTACTAGCACTCTCTTATTTGGTTCAACAAGCCGTGTCGTTCTCGTAAAACACAAATGGATCCGTTACTTTGACACGTTTCGTATGACTCGTGTCTCTGTGTTTTCGGCTGACTATACACTTTCGAATGTCTACGATGCACTGTTGCGATTTTTTCCCAGATCAATCTCATAAGCCAAGTCGGATGATTGCCACTAATCTACATACAATAGCAGTCTCGACTTATGCAAGTTTTACTGTACTTTCTATTTCATGCAAACAAGTGACAGATCCAGGGGGCAGGAGACACCCTCCCCCCATTTTTGAACAAACACATACATAGAAGTGAGTGGCCTTGTCGGTCTGTGCCCCCCTTTTTTTATCAAAACTGAACTCGGACTCGGACTCGGACTTGTGTGGTGTGGACTCGGACTCGGACTCGGACTCGGACTCGGACTCGGACTCGGGTGGCGCGGACTCGGACTCGGACTCGGACTCGGACTCGGACTCGGACTCGGGGGGTGCAGACTCGGACTCGGACTCGGACTCGGACTCGGACTCGGACTCGGGTGGCGCGGACTCGGACTCGACTACAACACTGCAGTCATTTGGCAGGTGTTCTTTATAGAAAGCTGACTGTACGTTGTTTGTGTGCTGTAGGGTCAGGAGCTGGCGTGGAGCCTGGCTGATGCACAGATTGATACCACAGTGATCACGGACTCCGCCGTTTTTGCAATCATGTCACGGGTGAACAAGGTGATCATCGGAACTCACTCAGTGATGGCAAACGGCGGGTAAGTGTCCTGGCTTTGCACGTGTCCCGGTTTCCCTGGGGCCAAGTCCTGGAATTTGAAAATGGCCATTTTCCAGGGTTAGAACATCCTGGAAAATAGGCCATGGTCTTGGAAAGTCCTGGACAATTGGGTAAATAAAAAAAATTAAACAGAGACAGTGTTCGTGCTTCACTTTGATTAAAACTGTGATTGATATGAACGTAGTTATGGAGATTAGTTTCATTCTGATAGAGCAGGTGCATGGCAATACTTCGCTCTACTGCTAGAATGTGCAAGTAATGAAATAGCTTTTTCTTATCATATTATTAATATTATGCTTACATAATATGATAGTTCTAAAAGCACTGATACTCGTGTCAATTTCGAAGTGGTGTTGCACACAGGTGACACCAGTTGTTGTTTTTTACATTGTAATAGGAATAGAAACGTTTCGCTCTGTCGATTTCCAGGCTTGTATAATTTCGTGTATGCCGTTGAACGAACGCATGCAGCAGTAATTTCATAACTCTTACATTTATTACTCCTTTGTTGGTAGATTGAAGAGCATAAACGGAAGTCACACCATCGCATTGGCTGCGAAGTATCACTCGGTCCCTGTAAGTGGTCCCCGTTTATGCCTTTTTCTGAGAGCGTCAATGCAGCGCTTCTACAATTGACTCAGTCCTACTTCAACTGCAATTTTAGATGGCGTGAGTTCATGTTAGGCCATGAAATCGACCTAACCTAACTATATCGTAGACCTATCAAACTCTCCTAGAGTGATTGACAGACACCTTTAGCTAATTAGCATCGCGATAAGGGAATTCTAAATACGCTGCTAAGTAACGAAGTACTGCAAAATTAACAATTTTGCATACATGCTCGAAAGGCATGTACAAATCTCTCTAGCTTGACCCGATCGAGCAAACAATATTCGAGGTGGTGTCATTACCTTGCCCAAACGGATAGGTCACCTGAACTCTGTTTGATTGGCTGCGATTGTTCTGTTCGCAGATGATAGTGTGTGCGTCGATGTTCAAGCTGTCACCGGTTTACCTCTGCTCCAGCGACCAGGCCGCCTTCAACAAGTTTGTATCTCCGCACAGCGTACTAGACTTTGCTGACGGTCAGTGCTAATGGCATGAACTCGCTAACAAATTATACTGTACAGTAAGATGTCACGTTCATACAACGAAAATATTAGCAACGAAATTTTGGGACCAATTGTTTTAACTCGAGGCGTCTGTGCATTGGTGATAACATGAAGCATAATTACTGTAATTTAAATTGACTACGTCACGAATTTTCTATGGTAAAATTTGTAAAAAAATTTGTTGCCATTTTTTTACATTAAAAGTAAGAACTAAACGTATCGTCAAATTCTTACCTGATAAGATTGTTTCTCAACTAGTTAAAAATCCAAAAAACCTGGACGATTTGATATTAGTGTTCCTGACATTAATTGCTTGCTATGGGCTATATAAGATATATATATATATATATCGAACAATATAGTAAAATAAGAAGTATAATGCAGTAGGGCTGTCATTGGTATCAAATTATTTCGATTCGATTATTGATTTTTTTCTTTTCGATATTTCGATCTGATTCGATCCGATTTAATATGTAATAAAACATGAGTCGTGAAAGTACAGTAAACTCATACATAACTTATTTGAGAATACATGTATTGTATTCTACTTATAATAACTATGCATTTTATACATCGCTGTGCTTAAATGCAACATGGGTGAAGTATATTTACTTGAATTCAATCAGATTGACCAGGCGTCGTGGCGATGGCGAAGCAGCAGACATGCTTTTACGGTAGACAGATTTTATTATAGAGATCAGTGAGACAGGATACGCACCAGAGACAATGGAACACCACAGTTATTGATTGTCTCTGTATGCATGCGCCCTGCACTACTTCCGATAATGGCGGCGCTCGGTCAAAAATGCTACCGATGCTTCGCTGGCTACATTTTAGCCACAAAAAGTAATAAACAACACTTTTTTACCAGAAAAAGGATGTACCAACGCTTTATTGTGATATACTGTATCGGATCGCTATTTTTCGATTTATTTCGATATTGATATCGGACGCAAATCCATCGCGATTTATCGATGAGGTGGGCATCGATGACAGTCCTATAATGCAGCAATTTAACCATAAAAAGTGAACAGAATTACTTTTATTTTGTGAAAAAATGGAAATATTTATTTTTTATTTTTTACTATTTACGGTGACGTAATCACTTTAAGTAAGAAGCCAGTGATATCCTTGAATATGTGAAGTCCTTGAATTGGCATATGAGTATGCTAATATTATATAGGTTGAACATATTTAAAATGTAAATTATATATTAAATACCCTTCTCGTATCTCTGTGTCCACTGCAGGCAAGTTGATGAGTAAGGTTCATGTGACGTGTCCGGTGTTTGATTACGTCCCGCCAGAATTAGTCACACTCTACATCTCCAACATGTAAGTCATACGAGAACTAGATTAAAATTACAAATTAAAATACTTTCGTTGTGGTATAACTGCATTTTTACCAACAGATGGCAGCAGCATGCAGCTACTTATACATGGAACAGGTTGAATTTTTCCATAACGTTATCATTTGTGACCCGCTCCCGCAAAACCAGGATTAAGTAGGAAATTCTACAAATTGAGTTATGTGCATATCTGAAAAGATAATTTAATTACCTTTAAAATGATATATAATATTTGGCTATATCTAAAGAATTGACCGATCTACAGCAATTTGAAGATCGGAAACCGACATATTCCTTTATGTGCATATCTGAATAGATAATTTAATTACCTTTAAAATGATATATAATATTTGGCTATATCTAAAGAATTGACCGATCTACAGCAATTTGAAGATCGGAAACCGACTTATTCCAGAATATGCAGCTTTTGAGATAAAGCGTTCCGGGTAAGGGGCCCAGTCGGGGATGAGCGGTGAAAGGCTCGTCAAACATTTTTTTTTTTTTTAATTTAAAATGACCATAATAATCTAGAGATATCTAAACCTATATATCCGGATTAAATATGCACTTAGGAACTTATTTTTGTAAAAATCTCATTTTTGTCCAGGTAGGCCATTTTCAGCATTGACAGTGTTCGTGCTCATTACTCAAAACAATGACTTGCGACTTAGTCCGTATTATGCTGGAGCGGGTCACATTTTTGCCATGTCAGTGTGTAGTTGGTAATGCTTGTCTGCCGTGTTCGTTGTTACAGAGGAGGGAATGCCCCATCTTACGTCTACAGACTGCTGAGTGAACTCTATCACCCGGATGACCAGGATTTGTAGCGGAGAAGAGATTTACATGTAGATATAAGTCAATTATCGAAGATATGAATATAATATCAAGAGATCTGTTGAAACACAAGTTACCTGTGTGTATTGTTTGTTTTATCGTTATTTAATATTACAAGCATTATGTACGCCATTCACATTGCATCAATGTCTATATATCCAAACACTAGTCAACACTAGATGACGTTCACGTAGGATTTCTTACAAAAAAAATATCCATAACAACAGAACTAGTCTGAAAATGAATGCAAAAATTGCAAACCAACACACACGCGTACATGAAACTGCAAATAATTCTAACGAAATGCCATTGATAGAAACGTTCAACCATTTTTCTATACAATCGACACGTTCCTTTTTCTCAACTCTAGTCATTATGGCTGATGTTCACCATGCAGGCAACACGTTTAAAACGGGTCTCGAACAAGTTTAAATGGTGAGGACCTTTGCTACTTTTATAATTAAATGCTGAATCCTTCATTTCTCTCTGAATGACCGACCGCTCCGTCATGCACTGTAGGCTTGCTGTTTTTCACAACATGATTCATTTCAACTACAGCAGTTAACCTCTCAACAACTTCTCCTTCATCGATGACATCACGCTCGGTCACTTAATTCATTTCCTCTGCAGCAACGAACGATGCAGTGGCACTGCTTCCCCTTTGCTGTCTCTTCTTCCTCTGTGGAGGAGGCTAAATTGAAATATCCTCTCATCAAATGGTTGGTTTCCTCCTCTGTAGAAAGTCCCTCAACAACACCTTCTTGTTGTGGAATGAGCACCACCCCTCCCCTTTGATCATCTCTCTCGTGTTTCCTCATCAGCAGAGAATCTCTCAGCATTTCCCCTTTCTCTAGACCTTTTCTCTCATCACCCGAGTGATTTCCTCTTCAGCATTGAGTCCCTCAGCCACTTCCCTTCACTACACTTCTCTCTCATCACTTGATTCGTTTTCTCTTCAGCAGTGAGTCTCTAAGTGACGTCTGCTTGTCGCGGAACGACCGCTTGCCCTTGCCTCGCATCTTCTGCTTGATCATCATGAATGGCTTCGTTTTCCTCTTCTGTGCGTTCGTCGTGCTCGCGTGTGCGTTCATCTTCTGCGGACGCGCGATGCGGCCGGGCGTCTCGCGATCCGCGCGCCCGGCGAGCACCGTCGCAAGACGCGAGTCTTTGTCGTGGCGCCGCCGCTTGTGCACGCGCTCGATGTCGCCGAGCCCGGCCATCTCCCCACGCTCCCGCGTCACCGTCGCCGGCTGCGCGTGCTTACGATTCTTCACGAGCGGTTCGAGGCGCTTGCTAAGCTGCTGCCGCCGGATCTTCTCAAAGTCGTCCTGCGTGAGGATGCAGTCGCGCGAGACGGCGGCGGCGCGGCGCCTCCGCTCGTCCGCGCTCATGCCACGTAGCTCCTCGCTCTCCTCCTCCTATGGGGAGAAACAAACAAACGTAAATATATATAGTAGGGACGTGATGATTCATCGATATGTAGATGTATCGCGATACAAACTTCGATGACATACGTATAGATATATGTTTGACGATTCATGATACACGTATCAATATTCTACTGAATAAAATCTATATATCAATAAATAGATCAAGAAATAGATTTATCAGAAACCAAAAAAACCATGAGACAATATGCAGTATGTTCAATAGTAGTTGTACACTAGAGACTCCACGATGCACATGATTGGTAGAGTACCGGTTAAGCCTATAATTTTCTAGATTCCCTATTGCGATACGTGTCGCATCTTGAAAGATGTATCGTGATTGCATCATGAGCTACCTGTATTGTCACACCCCAAATATATATGTGTGTGTGTGTATATATATATCATCTTGCAGAAAGACGTACAAAGGTTTATCAGTCAACGTTTGTCGGCACACATAATTATGCCGCCAAGTAAGTTGTTTTTGTTCTACTCTCTAGTAGTAAATAGCTATTATTTTACAAGGTTAAAAGTTGCTGAAAATGTCAAGGCTCTAATAGCAAAAGCAGTTCAGTCCTTTGTTAACAGTCAACAAATCCATTTGTTTAACCCTACCTCTTGAGCGGTCAAAAGCGTTTAAATCAGACACTTACTCTTCGCACGTCAGCGGAAAGTAGATTCCATGGTCCTTTCAAATATTAATAAAAATGGTAGCAGTCAGCCGCTGAACAAAAAAGTTTTGCACAGCGGTACGTTAGACCTATGTCCTCAGAAAACGTCTGATATTCTCCTTTCTCCCCCACTGCCCTTTGACCTGCAACCTAAACCTGTGATTTCGCACTGGTAATGGGTTTCCTCCCATCCACACTATACACCGAATATTATGAGCGTAGGTTCGAGCCGTTGAGATTGTGCGCATTCCTCCTATACCGTACGTTAGAGGAAGATTCCCCCTCCATGACACATCTCGACCTTTGACCCTTGACCCTCAAATTCGACATTAAATTAATAATTAATGAAATCCTTCCGCGCCTAGTTGGCCGCATAGGGCGGGTGTGCCTATCTCCGTTTCTGTAACCTTGAGGCCCCGCAGCTGCTTTCACAGTAAATGCTACAGTAGGGGGTTAGTCCACTGGTAGCACTGCAAGTTAACTTGCCACACTCTATCTCTATTTGCTGAATGCTAAGCAGAGAAGCAGTGTGTACCATTTTTCAAGTCTTTGGTATGACCCGGCCGGGAGTTGAACCCCCGACCTTCCACATACAAGGCGAGCACTCAACCATTGAGCCATCGCAGTGGTCCTCAAACAAATTTGACATCCCGAGTCCTTTTCGCGATCCCCCCCGACGTCCCGAATATCAAGATCGTACGTCGAGCGGTTAAGATTTGTGCCGTAACTGTTGACACACAGACGGACGGACGGACGGACGAACGGAGATTCATGCGATTATACAAGCTGCATCTGACTTCGTCAGCTGAGCTAAAAACTAACGTTTTAAGACAAATTTTGTTGCTGACAGCGGCCCCAAATATTTCTCCTATGGGGGAGAGAAGAACAATTAGAAATCACGGCTGCTGCACATAGATGTAAAGCAGTCGCGTCCCCCAACTCACCTTTTCTTCGTCAGACGAGTGATGCACGTCGATCCATCCATCCTCACTCCCATCCACATCACCATCATCCATCTCCTCCTCCTCCCACTCCTCCGCCTCCACCTCATTGCTGCCGCGACCAACGGCGACCTCCGTGCGACCCTTGGCGACCTCCGTGCGACCCCCGGCAACCTCCATGCGGCCCCCTGCAACATCTGTGATGACCTCCGCACCGGGGACATGGTCGAGAGTGTCCAGTTCTCCGTACGCGGCCGTGCGCGCCTCGGCCGACGCCTCCGTCGGGCGGCCGCGGTCGCGCCGGTGCAGCATCGTCGGGTCGACCTCGCGGTAGAGCTGTATGAGCGAGCGCGCGCCCATCAGCACGCTCTTGTTGCGGTGCGTCTTGTAGCACGCGAGGTCCTGCAGCAGGTCGGCGTCCATCGCCAGGGGGCAGCGCGCGCACACCTCGCGCACGGCGTTCAGCCCGACCGCCATCACCTCGCCCGAGTTGCGCTCCGTCACGAAGTTGTCGACGAGCGTTCGCACGAGCGCGGCGGCGACGTCCGGCGGCACGAGCATGTGCGCCGACCACGCCGCGTACAGCAGGATCTTTGTGACGTCGCGCTGGTGCGGCTGCATGAAGCGCTGCAGGTACGGGTACAGGTTGAGCAGGATCAGCTCGTGCAGACCCACGAGTTTCGCGATGAGGCCGAGCATCATCAGGCGCACCTCGAAGCGCTCCGTCGACGACTCGAGCTGACGGAAGAGCCGCTCGGCGAACCCCTGCGGGTCGTGCAGCAGCCGCAGTGCCGAGAAGTCAAACGCCGGCGCCCTCTTCGCCTTCTTCGACTTGCGCGCAGCGGCTTTCGCGCGCTCATACCGCTTCGTCCGCTTCTTCGTCTTCTTGCCGACGCGGAAGGCGACCGCCATCTGCGATTCCGTCTTGCGCTCGTCATCCGTGCCACTGTCATCATCGCTGTCCGTCGCGGGGGCGCCACCGTCGGCGTCGTCGCGGCCGAGGAAGAACTGCAGTGCGCCGACGAGCACCTTGGTGACCTTGGAGAAGCACGCCGTCGCCATGACATTAACAGTGCGCGCGTCGCGCCACACGTCGCGCCGGTACAGCTCCGCCATCGCGTCGAGCGACGTCTTTGCGGCGGCGGCGCTGGAGTCGCGCAGCATCGAGTACATGAACGCCTGCAGCGTGGTGTTGACGGCGTTGTTGCGTGCGCGCGCGTTGACGTTGCGGATGTCAGCGACGATGTGCGTGTATAGCATCCGCCGCAGCGGCTTGTCGCGGCAGCGCAGCAGCTCAAAGAACAACGAGAGCACGCTGAGCGGACTGACGAGACCCTTGTTGCGCAGGAGAATGAGGGCGCGGCAGAGCACGACACGCATCTCCGGGTGCAGTGTCGTGTTGTGACGCTGCAGCATGCTCTTCAGTTCCTCGGGAAAGTCTTTCATCTCTTCCGGGTAACACTGCGCGACCTGGTGCAAAAGCATAGCATCATTAAGCCACACGTTATCTTATCGCTTCACACAACGTGTAACAACAAGTGCCGCAGTGCGACAGGGCTCATCTGGTGTCTGGTGTTTGCTGATAAATTCATTTGTGCATAGCAAGACGTCTTAATAGTATTACTATTAGTAATACCTTATGGTTATACATGGCTACGAAAGTCAAACAAGAATAAAGAAGACTTAAATTCGAACAAATATATCAGCTACACTTTCGCACCCACCTAATCTCTATGCATTGCAAACACATGTGCATTGCAGGTTGGCAGGCAACAATTATGATTAGAAGCATGCCAGCCATGGGCTGCCCCGTGTTTTTGCCTACCCACGCGAGCATTCACTGATTCAGCCTTCAGGGTGCTATAGACAGACTGCTTTAGAAAATAATATGATTTAAGGAGCGTAAACCTTGTTCAACAAACATTTGCGTTTGCAATTAAACTGTGCAACTGTAGCCTCACATTCACACAGGTATGGGCTCTAATAATAGCAAAAGCAGTTCAGTCCTTTGTTAACAGTCAACAAATCCATGTTTAACCCTCCTCTTGAGGGTCAAAAGGTTATCCGACACTTACTCTTCGCATGTCAGCGGAAAGTACATTTCATGGTCCTTTCAATAAAGCCATAAAAATGGTAGATCTCACCGCTGAAACAAAAAAGTTTTTCAATCGCTCCGTCAGACCATGTTCTCAGAAAATGTCTAAAATGTTTTTCAGGGTCCGAAGACCCAGTCCGGTCAGTTTAGCACTGGGCCGTATTCTATATAGGGGCCCCGTTATAAATATAGCAATGAAGTAATCTATTCACGATGTCCGACCGGCATGTACTGTTGTGAGCAAACTTGGGAACTCTTGCTACGAACTTGCGAATTGAGCGCATCGCAGTTTGGGCAATCCTAATTTGAGATGGGGAAAACAGAGGTAGAAACACTGGCTTGCACAAACATATGATTATGAGGGATTCAAATGTGTAGTATCATAAACTATAAGTCGTTAGCCTTCGTTTCCTCAATGTGTTTGCACTTTGTTATTTTATTAAAATGATTATATAAATAATGGATAATATGAGATAGGATCTCTTCCTAGTTCTCGCCCTTACAGTGCGGACACACCAGCACGCACTGGCTTCGCGATCGACGTTTGTTGACATACATCAGCCTCATGGCTTTTCAGTTTGCCAACTCTTCGAGGGATTGGTCAGCGCCGGCTCGCAGCCAAGGACTAGGAAAGTCCGCAGTCTTCGGGCAGGCACAATCGCTGCACAGTCTCGGAGATTGGTGACCGGATCTCCAAGTTCTAGGTTTACCAACAAGCTACTATTAGTTTAGTAGCATGGCCACAGCAGGCACTTGGAGCGTTATCGCGGTAAATAAAATATATGCTAAATAAATACAGATATAGATACTATTTGACTACCAAGTTCTAATGCTTCTGAGTACTCTCTGTTCATACATTCACGCTATTGCCCGAGACAATTTCGTGCGCAAATGCCGTCCAAGATGCTCATTCTCAACAAAAGCTTGGCTCGCGCCGCATTTGCTGCCGCTTGCACACTGCATACATAAATCTGCAGATAATAGCAGGTGAGAAAGCGTGCTGCCAACAAGCGAGATTATGCTCACGGCGCATCGCTTGATTTCAGCATGAGTACAAACACAAATATCAACCATGTCTACTCCAGCTCTTTCGTTTCTATTTGAAGAACAGGTTCCTTGTGCTATAAAACGATACTGCTCTGCGTTGTAACCGCGCTAGGTGTATCAAGCTGAAAGACACAATCGGACCTGTAGCGAAGGATGTCTCGCCGTCGTCGTGTCGCGTCTGCTCGTATTATGCGATAACATCGCGGCGTTGCAAGTCAAGGGCGTATAGGGCAGGCCGCAGTTGCCAGCATTCGGTGCGCGCGGCATACCGCTACCACGCTGGCTTTTCAAGCTCCTTAGTCTCGTCAACGCGCAGCTGGAGCGTACTGCCCAGTATTCGTCGCTGAGTTTCAAATGGGTCACGAAGAGCGGCGGTGGGTGTTTTCCTGAAGTCTGCAGCAATTTACAATTAACTGCGGCAACGCCGGCACGCGAACGCAAGAGAATTGTGCAAGGCTTTGTGTGTTCGCGTGCACACAGCTCTCGGTTACAAACACAGACAGTATTTTTTATAACAAAGGAACACTTGTTCTTCTAAATGGAAACAAAGATGAGTTAGAATGGTTGAATATTTGTTTTGTATTTCATGTGAAATCAAGCGAGCGGTCGAGCAAATTTTGGAGCACGCTTTCCTACCTGCTATATTATTTATGTATCAGTGTGCCAGGCAGCTAATGGCGGCAGCCAGCGTATTGTTGGGAGATGAGCATATTGACGGCATTCGCAGGAATTGTCGCAAATAATAGGGAAAAGAGAGATAGAAACATTAAGGGACTTTGGTAGTAAATAGATTTCGTATTATTTAGGATTAATTTTATTGAAACGCTCCAAGTGCCTGTGGCATTGCCATTGTGGCCATTGGCATTGCCATAGCATCCATATATAGTTATGGTATGTAGTGTGGGTTTAACAACTTCTATAACGCGGCTGATGATGCTTAACCCGACCAGGCTCTACGAATGTTAGTTTTTAGCTATCTGACATGAGTCAGAATGCAGCTTGTAGAATCGCGATGAGCGTCGAGCGTCCGTGTGTCAAGCAGTTGGCACAAATCTTAACCCTCGACGTACGGGTCACGATATTCGGGACGTGGGGGAATCTAAAAACGAGTTGGGATGTCGAAGCTGGGGTCAAATGTCAAAGGTCAAGAGGTGTAAAAGAAGGGAACATTCCTCCTAACTTAAGGTATAGGGAGAATGCAGAAATTGCGCGCACAAATCTAAACGGCTCGAACTAGGCTCGTGATAGTCGGTGTATAGCATCATGTAGGAAAAGCCTCACTGTGCCGAAATTGGAGGTCACAGTCAAAGGTCAATGGGGCACAGGGCAGNTCGTCAAACCAGAACATCCAACACCATACAGCGATTTAAAAGATATTTCCGACTGCACAGAGCATAGACTAGGCGCCTCAAAACTCGAATATTACTGTGTTCATTTACTGATAAAATGCTATGATCCTAAATACTAGGGAATGCATCGTAGTTTGATATTCTAGTTATTAATTACATTAAAGAGTGCGGACGTTACGTTATGACACGCTGACTATGTCAAATAGTAACATCCAAAACACGATTATGTGACGATACAACGTCAAAGCGTAACATCCATATACTGGTTTCATAATACGACCGTTGGCTGCGTCAAATACGGCTATTTCAGTCATTTCCTATCGATTCACGTACGTTGTTATTGTTTGCAATTATCACAATGTTACATGGATTCACTATTGATCTTTTATCAAACACAGTCATGAAAGGTTTATGGATGTTACAGATGCATTTTGTTTTTGACCCGATAAACACTTACCGACATCTTCTCCCGCCGATGGTTGAGCTTTGTACACAAAAACTGATTGCCACGCCCACATGTCTCCCCGCGGACGAGTCTAAACAACCATTAAGGGGTGTTCGATATGGTACAATCGTAAAATTGAATATAAACGAGGATTCGTTTTGGACGTTACAAATTGACCGACATTTTCATTTTGAGGAAAGCTTAGCGATATATCTTTTTGTTGTGAAACCCTACATCACTTTAATTTACAAGGTAAATTTAAAGAAACATCCTACACCCTCTACATGAAAAGTAGTGTTTGCCCATGCTTTGCTTTGTCTAAAATAGATCGTAAGTCTGGAACAAAGTTTGACCGACACAGTAACGTCCGTACGCAAAATTTAATTTCTAATTAAATCAACTTTTTATCAGCATTTCTGTCTTCCAGATGCCTATATTATATTTTTATATTAAATGTTTTTAGTCACCATAACTTTAAGTCTCATAGTACATTGGACAGTAACAAAAAAAACTCTCTTGTATATTATGATGCCAAAATGTCTCAAAATGGTCGCCGGCAAAACTAACGTTTTCATTTCAAAAAAGTGTACATTTTATTTAATTTCTGACCATATCACCATATAACTATCTTTAGTATTCCTCCAAGTCATAAGAAAAAGAACGAACACAACGAACATGTCAAATATACTTTATTTTCATTGCAAATTATCATCAAAGTTCCATGGCACTGAATTGCTGAATAACTGAGAACTACCCATATTTCATTTTCAAAGTACAAACAGTCACCCTATCCCTAACCCTAACCCTTCATGCACGCGAGCTTGAAAAGTAGCCCCTGAAAAATACATTTTAATTTTTTTCCTGCTGGGTACGGTCCGGTATACCGGAACGTACCCTGGTAACTATCTGATATGGTTAGGGTTAAGGTTAGGGAGTAGGCGTAGGCGACTCCCTAGGCCTAGACGCGTTAGTGGAGTAGGCGACTCCCTAGACTCGTTAGTGGAGTAGGCGAGGTATGGTCCGGCATATTAGATAGTACCAGGGTACGTTCCGGTATGCAGGATTGTACCCAGGGTACGTTCCGGCAGTACCCTGGGGGACAGAGACCCTCTCAGCATCAGTATCACAACACGCGACAGAAATCTCGTACACATGCATGTAGACCAGTAAATTGTGCCCTAAAAATTTATCTTATTTTAGGGCCCAATACCCTTCCATAGACAAAACACTTGTCATGCAGTATTCTCCTCTTTAATCACGTTTATTTTATTAAAACATCACGACATAAAAATCACGCAAACATCGCTACAAACAAAACTGCCAATCTTGCATTGAACCGCACCGGACAGCGATGATTTCATTGGCCGGTGAGAAATGTCGTTGTGCGGTTCAATGCAAGATTGGCAGTTTTGTTTGTAGCGAAGTTTGCGTGATTTTTATGTCGTAATGTTTTAATAAAATAAACGTGATTACAGAGGAGAATATCCTAGTAGTACTACTACTAGTACTACTGCATGACAAGTATTTTGTAATGTAGGTAAGATGTTAATAAAGC